CTATCAATCCCTTTCGCTATGATTTATGGCTTCTGATTGAATTTTGGAATCGTAGTGTAGCACTGTGACTTAATGCACTGGACTGCAATGTTGGTATGAGCCACTAGGCTGGTGGTTCAAACTTATCAGCCACTTCTTGGAATGCCTAAAAAGAGGGTCACTATGAGTTGGAACTGACTTAACAGCACTTAACAACAATAACATATATATTTTTAAGTTGTGCTTTGAGGGGCATCTCCTGTCATGTTTTCTTCTAATTTAGGCTTTTCCAGTTAGGCTTCTCTCTTAGGTTTTTGTTATCTATTTTACATAGGTGTTTATCCCATCTGAAATTAATTTTGATATATTACATAGGAATATAAGTTTTCATCCAAGATAGTTCCCCAGTTGTTCCTACATCTTTTATTTAGTAATTATTTAGTAAAAACCTGATGTGAAATGCCTCTTATGTCCTACTCTAAGCTTTCATATTTATTTGACTCTCTTCTGTTCTATTTTTTACCCATTCATTTATCTGGGTAGATTTAGCCTTGGTTCTCTTACTTATAAAATGGAACAGGGCAAAGATGTGTTGGAGCTGGAACACAGGTTTTCAAACTGTGTTCCCAAGAGTACCAAGATTCCACAGAGGTGCCATGTATGCATGTGTGAACCACCCTAATAACCTTCAATTCTGCCTTTATCTTTTTCACATTTTGGATTTAGTTCAAAATAATTTTGGAAGAAAAAGCTGAAAACCACTGGACAAGATGACCTCTTGTGATTTTAGGTCATCATGGAGGCACTGTAGGATAAGCACTAAACTGCCAACCAAAAGGTCAGCAGTTCAAATCCACCAGCTGATCAGCTGATCCATGGGGGGGAGGGAATGAGGTTTCCTGTACCCTTAAAAAAGATTTATGGTCTCAAAAATCCTATAAAGGGTCACTATGAATCCAATCTCACTTAATGGCAGGTGTTTTTTGGTTTATCTCCCAGATTAAGTAATTTTATCTTACCCAGTGTGGTAGAGTCAATTGCTACTCATAGCTACTACCCCCTGTAAGACAGAACAGAATTGCCCCATAAGAATTTCAAATTTGTAAATCTTTATGAAAGTAGTTTGCCACATGATTCTCCTGCAAATAGTTAGTAGGTTCAAGTTGCCAACTTCTCAGTTAACAGTAGAATGCTAACAACTGTGCCACCACAAATTAATGCGATACTGTAGCCCAAGCAACTTTGCCTATTAAACTGATAGGTTATCACAACTGTATCTAAAGCGACCTCAGTTCAAAACACTGTTCTTATCGCTCTTAAAAACCATAAACTGTTCACACTGGAGATTATTTAGAAATCTTTATTCAGAAGTTGCTCATTGGTTAAGAAGCCACAAGTCACAACAGATAAGACATTAAGAAAAAAAAAATCTATGCATTGGACTTCCTGCAAGATGGTGGACTGGATAGACACACTGCACGGACCTTCCACAACAAAGATTTGAGAGTCAGCTTGCCAGCTGCTCTACAACAGAAAGATGAGGCTTTCTGCTCTCACAAAGATTTACAAGCCCTGCCCTGGGTGAGCTACAGCCCTGGGTGAACTAAGACCCGATGAAACTATCACGGCCCAGAAGCAGCCCCATATCCAAGCAAAAGAAGAATTATGAAGCATATTCAAAACTTCACACCTCAAGATAGAGACTTGATCCCAGTGAAGGGTTTAGGATTAGACATGGGAAGGGTATGTGCCACTGTTAACTTTGAAATTGTGAATTGTATAATTATTCAATCAAACACACAAGAAATAAACAGTCTATGATGGTTATTGGGGGGATTATTCACGGGCAAGAGGGCACACATGTTGACAAAGCAGACAATATGCAATAAGAGGGAGGTTAACAGAGGAAAGATGAAGGTAGCAGGAGACACAGGGAGGAATGTAATAGTTAACAGTTAAATCCTGTTAACTGTTGGTACATGGAGGGGACTGCAAACATGCAATGACGCAAAAGTACATGATTTGTTCAATATAAAACTGATAATCTGCTCTGTAAGCCTTCACTCAATTCACAATAAAAAGTTTTTTTAAAAAAAAATTCCATGCATAGAATGTGCTCGTTAGTTGTTTAAATTATATATTCCTGAGTGTTTATGAATACATCCTCCCCACCCCACCACCCAGAGAACCCAGAGGGAATGGAAGTGAATGATGATGCATGGTGGGGATTATAATCATTGCAATGAAACGAGGTGTAAAGTCGATGTTCTCCCATGTAAACAATCATTCAGTTCACAATTTAAAAAAATAAAAAAATCCATGCATATACAAAAAGAGCTCAAAATCTCAGGAAAACTATTTTTAAGGGATAGTGTACCCAAGCAAAAGGAGCTCTGGTAGCGTAGTGGTTACGAATTGGGCTGCGAACCTTAAGGTCAGCAGTTCGAAACTACCAGCCGCTCCGCGGGAGAAAGATGAGGCTTTCTACTCCCGTAAAGATTTACACCCTCGGAAACCCTGTACAGGGTCGCTATGGGTCGGAATCGACTCGACGGCACTTAACAACAACAAGTGTACCCAAGCTGGAATCATGGTGTGGTGCTATGGGTTAATTTGCTGCACTGTAAAGTCATTCTGAACTGCAAGGTTGGCAGTTCAAGCTCACCAGCTGCTCCTTGGAAACCCTATACAGGGTCACTATGGATTGGAACCTACTCGACAGTACTTAACAATCACCACCCAAGCTACCAAAAGCATTTTATTTAAATCCAGTTTCATGTGGCAATGCACATATACATCTAAAACTAGTTTCTAGAAAAATAAATGAATTGGAGAAACATCTAGAACAGCGCCAAGTGTTGAATGAATGAACGGTAAGTTCTCCGCTACCAATTACAAATGCAAGGCAAAATTTATACTCCAAATCTCTAGTCATGATTTTCAACCCTAACTTGTTGAGACTACTAAACAATACTGTAAGTACTCAGAAAGTTACAGGGTTATTTGTAAGCAGTTAGCTTCAGTAGCCAAATTATAGTTAAGAATTAAATGAAGGAAAAGTAGTAAGAAATAAGGAAACCCTGTATAACTTAGGAGAAATTATTGGCATCTTTATATTACCTCACAGAAATATTTATATACTGAAAGCACTATACAAGGGGACTTCATGCAGTTGGTAGGAATATTCTGTATCTTTTAATACCATTTTTTCCACTAACATTTTAAAATCCCCGTGTATAATTGTCAACTGGCAAAGAGAAATTATTAAAGAAAAATAATGTAAGAGTGAAAATATGAGTTTAATAGTACTGTTTCATTATGTTTTTAAATGCTCAAGTTAGGTTGTGATTTAGAGTTTACTTCCTCAAACAAGCCTTCTCTGTCAGCTCCTCCGCACCAAATTAAGTTGAGGTTCCTTTGTATTATAGCCTCATAGCTCTGCACTCCTTTAGAGTACCTATCCCATTAAATCCGAAATACAGTGTTGGCTTCTTAGGCTGGAAGAGGTTTGAAAGGATATCTTCTTATTCAACTTAGTCAATTGACAGCTGAAAGAAACTGATGTCCAATGAGATTTTAAGTTTTAAAATAACTTACTTACTGAAAGCCAATCATTTAATGCTAGTTACAGTGATCAGAATTTAGGTATTCAGAAATTCAGTTCAGCATTTTACCTTCTAAATTACTTTAACTCATCAATGTTTTTCCTGTTCTACAGAGTACATAATTCCTTTTCAAAAAAACACACCTTCCTTATCTCTCTTCTATGCACTTGTACATGTGAACAAATTAGCACCCTTTCTTCAAATGGGTCTCTTAAGATACACAAATATAAAACTCTAAGATAAACAATGAAAAACCTTCAAAATATTTAAATATGTACATATATACTGGTGGCCAAAGACTGTCTATAGTAAGAAGGACCTCCTTAACTTTTAAAGCAGAGAATATAAACGCAGTAACTGCAATAACTGCACAGAACTAAGTCACCAGTTGTTGTTAAGAGCTGTTGAGTCAGTTCTGACTCATAGTGAGTGACCTGGTATAGGGTTTCTGAGGAGCAGCTGGTGGGATTGAACTACTAACCTTGCTTATCCTACAGCACCACACCAGGACAAATTACTTTTTATGTACCTTGAAACACCTTAGAGGGTGAATTTAAGTAACTAAACACCTTTATATCACAAATATAATTTTCCCATGGTTAATAATAAAATAGGTCTTCATAGGGAAATTTCATTTAATTGAGCCTAAGGTTTCTCAAAAATTAATCATCTTCATTCAATAAAATGTGAAAGATACTTTCACTATTGTTGTTAGGTCCCATCAAGTCATTTCTGAGTCAAAGCAAATCCATGCACAATAGAACAAAATACTGGCTGGTCCTGCACCCGCTTCACAATCCTTACTCTATCTGAGTCCACTGTGGCTGTCATTGTGCCAATCCATCTCATTATTACATGGCAGTTACTGAGGAAGTAGACCAAATTGCATTGTCCTATTTTCTGCTCCAACTCTGCCCACATTTTAAAATGACCAATAGAATGGATTTGTGTATGTAAAATTCTTTTCTTATAAAGAATCTTGGACGTGCCTTTGTGAAATCGTATTAAAAGTGTTTTGTAATTGTGTTTTGCATAAACGGGGGGGACGGGGGGGGGGGGGGGGGGGGACACGGGACCCCACAAAAAACAACGTAAGTTTCACATCTATTTTAATCTGGACAAAATTCAACTCTACTCACTGCCTAGGTATTACATAATTCTTTCCAAGGGGAAAAAACACACTTGGGGAAGATTTAGGTATATAATGACAAATTAGATAAGTTTCTGTATTTAAAAAACAAGAAGGGGATTCAAGCTTTTATCCTTTCTCTTCCTTTCCTTAGCCACAATACCCTGAGATAAGGTTACTGCTTAACTACAATCCCAGGCCCCCCAAATTTTCCTTTGTTCTAAATAATGAAAGTTGATTCACCTTTTAAAATAGTCAGTGCTAGCCTTAAACTACCAGATACTCACCGAGTTAGGGTAGTTCAAGTAGCAGATCTGACAAGGCATATCCTGTGCTGATGACCTTGTATTCATCTGGCGTGTTCGAGACTTTTTACTTGGATTAATTACATGACACTCAGCAAAGAGCTTCTCCAGGTTTCCATCAAAGTACCTGCATTATTTAAACAGAAAGGATGAGAGCCCAGCAATAGCACACTTGTAGAGCTCTCAAAAAACCTGATTTTCTAAGGGGAACAGCAACTAACTAAATTAAAATAAACCAAGATCATAATTTCTTTTGCTCAGAGGAAAGCATATCTAAGTGTAAGTGTATGAAGTTTGATTTTTGTGGTTATTTGAATTTTTTTTTGGCCATTGTTTTAAAACAAGAGTCCTATAGGAAATCAGTATTATATATAACAGTACTTCAATTAAAACTCAGAAACAAAAAATGTACTCTCTCTAGCGGTAGTTATGAAGAGTAATGGTATTTTTAAGAGATTATGCTTTATTTTATAAGCGAATCAATTTTATTAATAATTGTATTTCAATCAATCAAAATATATTGGCTAAGAATGCTTCCTTAGCAATATATCAATTAAGGCATATTCACAAATCACTTTAAAAAATGAACTTATTACACCCCATTCTACACAATAGGTATGCTTTTTAGAAATTCTTTAAAAATGAAATGATTTTCATTTACTGGTAGAGGGAGAACAAAACAATAAAAACTATCTTAAAACATTTAATAAATCATCTATATAGTTTCATCTATTACCAAAAAAGAAACAGAAAACAAAACACCCAAGCACACTGCTGCATTCACTCCAACTCATAGCAACCCTATGGTTAGAGCAGAACTGTCCCATAGGGTTTCTGAGGCTGTAAATCCTTCCAAAAGCAGACTGTTTCTTTTTTTTCCCCTCAGAGAAAATGGTAGGTTCACATCCCTGACCTTTTCATTAGCAGCCCACCCAACGTTTAATCCAACATGCCACTAAGACGCCTTATAAAGCTACAGCTTTACATAGAGTATTTATCCAAATACATAGTTCAAGATCTAAGATGCCACATACGATCAACAGAATTCTAACTATACCACAAACTTCCTAACAGCAGATAAAATGCTTACCATTAATTCAGATTAGGCATGGTCCCTGACCTCTTGAAATATCTTAAAATTACAAAGGGAAAAATCAACAGATATAAACACTTACAATCTGAGTCAATATAACCAGCAAAATCTAGTCAATTAAGTTTTAGCTTGTAAACCTCAGCTTTCAATAACTATTTTAATTATATACAAACATCATTTTTAAAGTAAAAAAAAAAAAAAATCAATGCTCAAAGATACAAATACTTTTAATGATGTTATTTAGTATTTGTGCCGTTGTACTTGTTTTCCAGAAAATTACTCAAATGAGAACAAAATACTCTATGACTAAAAAATAGATGAATCTACTTTCACGTTAGTATATTTCAATATAATCAAATTATCATCAACCAAAATGCAAAATGTCACTACATTATACAAGGGGAATCCATGATATAAAATATAAACTAAAAGCTACCCCTAACAATTCAGCTATTCAGAGTATACCTAGAGCAGTAAACAAAATGCTTTCCACAAATAGTATATCTAAGGAGCTCTGGTAGAGTAGTGGTTATGAGTTAGGCTGCTAACCTCAAGGTCAACAGTTCGAAACAATCAGTTGTTCTGTGGGAGAAAGATGAGCCTTTCTGCTCTCGTAAAGATTTACAGCGTCGGAAACCCTATGCAGGGTCGCTATGAGTTGGAACAGACTCCACAGCAAACCATCATCACACATAGTATCTGAGAAAACATAAGTTGCTACCAAATTTTATCTCAAAACAGAAAGCATAAGAAACTAACAAATAATAATTATCAGTTGTTCTGATAAAAATATTCATGCTCATAAAAAGGCAAAAGCTTTTGTCATGCAAAATGTGACTATATAGAATAATCCCTAATATTTGAGTACATTCTAGCAGCATGCATGTAGAGCCACACAGCTGTATATAATTTAATATAAAAACATGTTCCAGTTTTATAATTTACTTTCCTCACTAGGAAATAGGGAATGACCTTTGTCAATGAAAACAGATCTACATTTGTGGAGTAAGAGGGTTTTTACATGGTATTTCACTGTAGGTATGTATCATAATTTACTTAACCAAACTTACGTTGCTGTTAAGCACCATCAAATTGGTTCCAATTCACAGCGACATTGTGTAGGGTTACTGAAGCTGTAACTCTTTATTAGAGTAAACAGCTTCTTTCTCCCACAGAGCAGCTGGTGGGTTTGAACTGCCAACCTTGCAGTTAGCAGTCAAGTGCTTATCTTACAGCGCCACCAATGCTCTTAACCAAACTTACACTGAAGGACCTTTGTTGTTAGTGTGTCAAGTTGGTACCAACTCAATGATCAACTTTGTAGGGTTTCTGAGGAACGGCTGATGGGTTTGAACCATCAACCTTGAAGTTATGTATCCTATAGCACCAAACAAGGACATTTAGGTGGTCCATAATTAGACAATCCTAAATTAAAATATTCACATTTCTCCTGTTGACCTGAAGATGAGAAAGAGAAGAGAAAGGGCGGGTTGGTCCTAAGTGTAGTGAGACCTGGAGACTCCTGAGCCCAAGGACATAACCACAGAGGACTAGAGCTGAGAGTGAAGCATCCAGCTGATATAAAGTGAAGGAAGATGCACAAGAACACCCAAACTTGTAGGTGGTAACCATGCGACCTAGCTTTGATGGCTTGATGATCAGAGGAAGACAAAAAAATTTTTTTTTGATTAAGGAAACAAGTGTATATTGCTACAATTTGATGAACTTATGATTCAATTCTGTTAGCGTAGTGGTTACGAATTGGGCTATGAACCGCAAGGCTAGCAGTTCGAAACTACCAGCTGTTCCACGGGAGAAAGATGAGGCTTTCTGCTCCCGTAAAGATTACAGCTTCAGAAACCCTGTACAGGGTCTCTATGAGTCAGAACCGACTCCACGGCACATAACAACAATAACAAATGATTCAATAGTGAGTAACTGTTATCATGATTAATTGTGATGCTCACAACTGCACAGGTAGATGTTTTATAACAAAAAGGGGGGAGCAGTTCATCTTAGTCCAGGAACAGAAGACCCTAGGACCTTCAAGGGAGAAGAGCATGAATGGAATGTGGAACCCTATCCAGAGAAGCAGCGACACTAGAGACGGAGGCAGAGATGATGACATGGAGAGAGAGCGAGCAGCTGTGGACTCTAGACTCATGGAACAGAGACAGGCTATTTGCTGGCAGCCAGGAGGCAGGCTTGCAGAATGTGCCTGTTTCAGTTAAACCAGTTGTTTAACTGATTATATATTCCAGAGTGTTTTTGTACATTCCAAAAAAATACAAAACCAGAGGGAATAGAAGCAAATACTTGTGAATGATTATGCATGGAGGGGATTGTAACCATTGCCATTTGCCATGAAATGAAATAGGATGAGTGTAAAACTGATATTCTCCCATGTAAACCATCACTCAATTCACAATAAAAACTTAAAAAACAACAACAAAACCCATGTTCACATATCAAGAAATATTTCCTCAGAGTAGGATCCCAGTATGTTTACAAGAAGCATGAACAATATACTTGTTGCTATTTACTGCTAAAATACCTCACCCACCCAAATGATTCACATTACCAACAAATATCCTGAGTTTGGTATTTTTTGCCACCAAATGGTTAATAATCTTAAAACTTCTTGGTCCACTTTAAAATATGGAACATTTTGCTACCTGGATGTTTCACGTCTTTAAAAAAAATATGCTTTCTCTGATATCTCCCCACCCCAAAATTAGGTAAGGTTCCCTTGTATTATATGGTGGTGGTGGTGGTGGTGATGTGCTGTGGAGTTGGTTCTGACTCATAGCCAGCCACCAAGTACAGGGTTTCGTAGGCTGTAAATCTTTATGAGAGCAGAAAGCATATCTTTCTCTAGGGGAGCAGCTGGTAGATTTGAACTGCTGACCTTTCAGTTAGTAACTCAGTTCAAAATTCACTACACTACCAGAGCCTCCTAGTTCTGGTGTACAGCTGTGTGTGAGCACTGGACTGTTAACCGTAAGGTCAGCGGTTCAAACTAACCAGTTGCTCCCTGGAAACCCTACACAAGGTTGCTCTTAGTTGGAACCAACTTGACAACACTTATCAACAACAAAGTTGTGTCAAAACCATGCTCTGTTCCTCAGAAGAAAGATGAGGCAGTCTGCTTCCATAAAGGTTTATAACTGTGGAAACTCTGTGGGGGCGCAGTCCTGCTCTGGAATCAGCTTGACAGCAGAGAGCTTGTTTGCTTGCTTGTTTTTTAAAGAACTGGGTACTCCTTCATAGTATTTATCACATTAAAACAAAAAATCAGTTTCTGGTGACTGACTCATGGGGATCCTATCTATGTCAGAGTACAACTTGGCACGCTAAGGGTTTTCCAATGGTGAATGTTTCATACAGAGATTGTCAGACCTTTCTTACAATGTCCGTCTGGATATGTCAAACTCCACTGGATAGGATTTAGTCAATGGCAGATTTTTCAAAAATAGATTATCAAGCCTTTCTTCTGCGGTGTCTCTGGGTAGATGTCAAACTAACCTTTGGTTAATATTCTGTTATCACCCAAGGACTCTACTCATCACATTACTAACTCTGAAATCACTGCTTATTTTGGCTTTTCTGAAGGAATATAAACTTAATGAGAAACATTTTTTTTGTTCCAGTTCTAGTGTTCAGAAGCATCTTTAAAATTTCTTGTTCAAAGAGTAATTAATTAACTCTCTCATTTAACATTCTCTTTATCATGTATCAATTTTCCATATTCACTTAAGTTTATTTTTTGGAATTTTTGTTCTATTCTACTGCTTTAATTGATCTTGTAGTTTTCAATACATTTTCAATGTTTGGTAAGGATCCTTTTACTACTCTTATATAATTCTCTTGGTTACTCTTCCACATCCAGTTTTTCAAGGTAAAATCATTTTGATAAAGTAAAAAAACAAAAAAGAGGATTTGAAAAAACAGGTGTGGCTGGAGGGTTTGAACAGCTGAACTTGTAGCAGTCTAGTGCTTAATCTATAGTGCCACACCATGACTCCGTGATCTAT